AATTAATAGAAAATAAAAAATCAATTTATTTTCGAAAATAACAAAAAACATTTTTTTTGTCAAAAATAAATATTTTTCCAAAATTAAAAAAATCTAACTTTTTCAAAAATAAAGAAAAACGATTTTTTTCTAAAACAAAAATACCGATATTTTTTGAAAATAAATAAAAGTTGATTTTTTTTCAAAAATAAAAAGATCTATTTTTTATATAAATAACTTTTAAAAATAAATAAATAAATAACTTTGTAAAAATATTGGAGCCTTGGGGACCTTTAGTTTAAGGGGTCTAATTATTTTGGTGCTCATTTATTTTTATTTGAAGCCTCAAAATTTTGGATCTTAACAAATTTAGGGCTCAGCCCCCATCAAACAACTCTAACGGCTATAGAATTATTACTCTTATCTCGAAGTATCTTAAATCTGCTTTAGCAAGGGAATTTTTTTCTCTGCATCCAGTTCTCCAAATTCTCTCCATTTGAAACAATCCTGAGTCCTTTCTTGTTTCATAGAATTCCACATTACAAAATATATTTTTTAGAATTTGTTGGAAATCCATCAATTTTTATGATGAATTTCTATCAATTTTGATAAACAAGATTGTTATCACCACACAATAACGATAAAAAATATGAATGAAAGAAATACAATAATTTTCTGTAGAGTTTCTCCCTGTCCACGAACTGTGAAAAACTTATTCACTTACAACTGTAAATTTTGTGAATACAATTTGATTTTAAAAAAGAGTTAAATAAATTTTTGGTCCTTCTAAATATCTCAAATTTCGCTTTTAATCCCTCTAAAATTTTTCTTCAAAGAATGATCCTCCTAAAAAAAAATTTAACTTTTAATCCCTCTTACAATTTAGTGACGGTTTTAGCGACGATTTTAATAATTTTTATTTAGCGACGAAATTAGAGACCATTTTAACTACGATTTTGTCAGGAGGGACCAAAAGTTAAATTTCAATTCTTTAGGAGGACCATTCTTTGAAGGAAAATTTTAGAGAGACTAAAAACGAAATTTGAGACATATAGAGGGACCAAAAATTTATTTAACCCTTTAAAAAATAGGGGTTACTCCCACTATTTATAGATTTAGGTTAGTTTGCTCTCTAAGTCAAAGTCCAGAGCTATAAAAGCCCAAAATACCTATTTTAAAAATAAATCAAATCTATCTATTTTAGACTTAAATCAAATCTATCTATTTTAGATCTAAATCAAATCTGTGTGTAACAAACTGCTTTCACACTTCGACACTTCCTTGTTTTCTGTCAAACAAGCTGCTACGACACAACAAATTATGCTTTCAACACATCACCTAATTCATTGTGTCTAAGTTATCTATATCCATCATAGCTCTTAGTCTTATGAACACTTCGACCTGCACACCTTTCGTCATGATGTCTGCAATCTAGTTCTCAGTTATACAGTGTTCCATCTTCATCTTCCCTTTTTGTTACCTGCTCTCGAAGATAGTGAAACCTTATTTCGATGTGCTTGCTTCGACCATGTGATATCATATTCTTGTGATATCATATTCTTCGCTAGGTTGATAGCTGACATGTTGTCGATCTTCATGGTCATTGCTCCATGATCTTTCCATGTGATTTCTTCAACCAAGTTCACCATCTATGTTGCTTGACATGCACAAAGAGAAGCAGATATGTACTCTGCTTCGCACGATGGTAAAGTTGCTACTGATTTCTTTCTCAAACTCCAAGCAACTGGTGCACTACCTAGCATAAACATATATTCCGCTGTAGATTTTTGATCCTCGGCATCACTACACCAACTTGAATCAGTGTATGTCACTAACTTGTATTCTTTTCTTTTATCAACTGCAGGAAACAGAATGACATAGTCGAAAGTTCCTTTCAGATACCTCAATATCCTCTTCGCCGCTGCTAGGTGTGATAATTTTGACTTCTGCATAAATCTACTTACCATAGTTATATTGTATGCTAAGTCAGTCCTCGTATGACAAAAGTATCTCAATGACCCAATAAATATTCTGTATTGCGTTGGATCGACATCATCTTCATCTGCATCTTTTGATAATTGCATTCTTAGTTCTACAGGTGTTGTAGTCGAGTAGTATTCTTTCATCTCAAGTTTCTTGAGAATTTCTCCTGCATATCTTCTTTGATGCATCATCAAACCTCTACTGCTCTTGTAGAATTCAATGTCAAGGAAATATAAAATATCACCCAAATTAAACATTTCGAATTCCTTGTTGAGGTCACCTTTGAAGTCTTCGATCTCACTTTTGCAGCTACATATTATCAACAAATCATTGACATAGAGACATAGTATAAGCAATTCACTATTCCTTTTTCTTACATATACTCCATGTTCAGTTGTGCACTTCACAAATTCCTTCTCCCTTAGATAGTTATTTATCTTCTTATTCCAAGCTCTTGGAGTTTACTTCAATCCATATAGGGCTTTATGCAACCTATACACCTTTCTCTCTTCGCCATGCTTTACAAACCCAACTAGTTGCGCAACATAGACTTCTTCGTCTAAGAGTCCATTCAAGAATGCACACTTCACGTCCATTTGACATATGTGCCAACAGTTCATTTCTGCTAGACCAACAACTAATCTGATTGTTTCGATCCTAGCCCCAGGGACAAAAACTTCATCAAAGTCAATTCCTTCTTTCTGGAGAAATCCTTTTGCCATGAGTCTTGCTTTGTGTCGAGCTATTTCCCCTTTAGAATTCATCTTCACTTTGTATACCCACTTGACATCAATTGCCTTCTTGCCTTGAAGCAATTCGACAAGTAGCCAAGTATTATTGTCTTCGATTGACTTCACTTCTTCGTTCATTGCTTTCACCCACTTTGAATCTTTCAATGCTTCAGTTGCATTGACAGGTTCAATATATGTATAGAAAGCATAATGTATCATCTCACATTCATCATCAACTACATCATCTGATGTAATCACACATTCTTGCAACCTTGCAGACATGCGTCTTATTCTCTGAGATCTTTTTGTACCTGGTTGATCTATAACTTCCTCTTGTCGAACTTCTCTTTCAACTTGAGTTTCTGGTTCTTCAAATAAGATTCTCACTGAATCTTTCTTGACATTTTCAGTCCGATCTCATTCCTTAAGCTCATTTATGATCACGTCCCTGTTGATCACAATCTACTTGTTCATTGGGTCGAACAACATATAACCACTTGTCGAATGATATCCAACTAGGATCATTTGATTCAACTTGTCATAATGTTTTCTTCTCAACTGATCTGACACATGTCTATGTGCAATAGATCCAAATACATTCAGATGACTCAAGCTAGACTTCACACCAGACCAACATTCTTCTGGCACAATTCCTTCTAGCTTCTTCGTCAGACATCTGTTCAATATGTATGTTACAGTCGACACAACTTTATCCTAAAACTCTTTAGGTAAATGCTTGCCTTTCAACATACTTCTCACCATATTCATGATGGTTCGATTCTTCCTTTCTATAGTTTCATTCTGTTGTAGAGTGTAGGATGGAACCACCTCATGCACAATCCCTTCTTTTTCACATAATTTGTCGAAGTCCTTTGACATATACTCTCCACACCATCAATTCTCAAAACTTTGAACTTTCGACCATAGACTTAAACCTTGCAAATACCTTGATCACTTCACTTTTCTTCTTGATCAGGTAAGTCCACAGTTTTCTACTGAAATCATCTATGAATGTAATAAAGTATTTGTTACCTCCCATCGGATCCACCTGAATTGGTCCACATACATCAGAGTATATGACTTCGAGAATAGTCTTCGACATGCTTCTTGTATCTTTACTGAAGTTATTCTTGTGTTGCTTCGCCGGCACACATTCCTTACACACTTCGTTTGAAATTTCGATTTCTGAAAGTCTTGAAATTATATTTCTTCTTTTCAAATCTATGATGTCTCTGAAAATGAGATGGCCTAGTCGATAGTGTCATATCAACTAGTGCACCACCTAACATAAACACATATCCTGCTGTAGATTTTTGATCCTCAACATCGCTACACCAACTTAAATCAGTGTATCCCACTAACACATTCTTTTCTTTTACCAGCTCGAGGAAACAGAATGACATAGTCGAGAATTCCTTTCAGATACCTCAATATCCTCTTCGCCGCTGCTAGGTGTGATACTTTTGACTTCTGCATGAATCTACTTACCATACCTACATTGTATGCTATGTCAGACCTCGTATCACAAAGGTATCTCAATGACCCAATAAGTCTTCTGTATTAGGTTGGATTGACATCATCTTCATCTGCATCTTTCGACAATTGCATTCTTGATTTTGCAGGTGTCGTAGTCGAGTAGCATTCTTTCATCTCAAATATCTTGAGAATTTCTCCTGCATATCTTCTTTGATGCATCATCAAACCTCTACTGCTATTGTAGAATTTGATGCCAAAGAAATATGAAATGTTACTCAAATCAGACATTTCAAATTTTTTGGTGATGTCACTTTTGAATCAGTAAGTTGCTTCCACACTTCGACACTTCCTTATTTTCTGTCGAACAAACTGTTTCGACACAAGAAATTATATACTTTCAACATGATTCTCTACCGAAGCATAATATAGGACATTAGCTTCATTGACTATTGAGATTCAATAGTTGCAATACTTGTTCAAGGATTTCAAAATCACCTTTTTACTCCAACTTCAATATTTTGTGATAGCGGAATATTTAGCTTATAATCCCGTCTTCAGTGAATGCAATAAATACATCGAGTTGAATTGCCATGTGATTAGAGGAAAACTTCAATCCAAACTAATTCATTTTCTTCTTGTACCCAACAACTTCCAATTGGCCTAAGAAGTTAAGAAGTTGATTTATATACACAATTTTGTTTCTGTTTTGGTACATGACTTATTCAGCAAGTTATTAAGATTTCAAATCAGTAAAGTGTATGATATCTTCCAAATGATTACATTTTCACCATCTACTGTTTATTTCATTGAGGCAAAGAAGTAGGATCTTCTTCACCTTGTACATATGTTTCTTATTGGATACCCTTCCGAAATTGCTTTTTCCATAACCTTTCCCTGATTAAAACAAATGGCCATTTTGGTTTTATAATTGCAACGTAGAGAAATATAACCGAAAAAACAAGAAAACTTATTCAAATCAAGGCTTTGAAGATTTTTGCTCGTCATGATGTGGTTAGTTAAATTTAACTTCAAAATCAAATTCAAAGACCACACAAGAACACGGTAAACCGACACATACATAGTGGAAGATAAATGTGAAAATAAAATAATAAATTTACCTGGATTAAAGTTGTGATCATCCCAGGTCCATCCTGCATATACTCAAGTTAAGAAAAAAGAAAAATTAAAATTAATAAAATCGCAGCAACTGTATAAATTTTTGACCTGAAATTGCTTTTTTGTCCATGATATATCCTTCCATGTTTTAGAATGGGCCGATTGCCATTCGGTTGGAACCTGAATACTTTCTACATGTTGCAAAAGCCTCAAGCTATCTGCAATGACATTAGATCACAAGTGTGGTTTAGAATATTCGAATAGCAAAAAGGAGAGCCTGAAACTTTGTGTAAGTTTGTGCAGAAAAAAGAATTAGTTAAGAAAGAGCAATATTCTCAATTAAGATGAGACAAGAAAATACTTGTGATGAATGCTTCCTCCCAGATTTCATGTTTCGACCATGATGGAGCAACTTCTCGAAATGTGATACCTTCTTTCCTGCATACCCTGCACAAATGCAAACCATGCCAGGCCACAAGAAAAACAACATGTTAGTGTAGTGCTTTTTACTTTGTTTTTTGTCTGTGGACAAAAGTGACAAGCACCAGGAACAGACACACACAAATGAGAGGTCTCAGGTTCGAACCCATGTAAATAGTTCGGCCTAACAGTATTGACATAGTTAGTTGAGCTAGTTTTTAAGAAAATAGCAGTAAAAAAAAGTTAGATTTACAATCGAACCATACTCGAGCACTAGTTGGCGTATTATTCCTGGAAGAACGCCGTCAGTGATAGGAGCTGTCTGCACTTCAAAAGAGTTTTTATTTTCATAATCAAATGGGGCCTTCCCATCATCTGAACCCCAACCATCCTAATATGAAATAGGAAAAGAAATATAAAATTTGTACATGCATGAGCTTATACCATATAATGTCTCAACAAATACATACACACAAAGCACAAAAGCAGGAGAAACTCACCTTGCGGGAAACAACAAAAAAATTTGTAGAAGAACCTTCTAGTATTTGATCACCATCATAAGACAGCAACAACTCTGTCACTGATGGAGGTCTGAGCTTTTCCAAAGTCTTCCTAATCCTGCATTGCCCAAAAAAGTTGCATCTAGTAATTTGAACGAACATTGTTGATACTTAAAGCAGCGAGAAAAACTAGCACTAAAATTTGATGCTGTCAAACAATAATGAAGAAGCATAGAAGAGCTTGGTAACACTTGTCATAGAATTCAGATAGCATAATAAACTGACCTCACCCAATCTGAATATTTTGCACCTGCAATGTTCCTCCCATAGCCTCCAACAGCCAAATGTTCACCATTTCCGCGAATACCGAATTGAGGAGGAACATAAGTTTCAATATGCACATGCACATCAAAAAGTTTGCTCATATTATCCTCACTCGCAGTCACACATACATTCAGTTCCTCCAAATTACCAGTAACAAGAGTATTGACGATCAGCTCCTCAGATCCAACCCTCTCTTTCAAGGCAATTGGCAAGACTTTCTCCAATGAATCATTAACAAGCATCTTCAATGCAACTTGCCAAACTGGGAAATTTGGTGACAATGGCTGCAAAGTTGAAGCATTATGAGATTTAAATAAAAATTGCGGCGCCGAAGTTGAGAGAATTTGTATAGATTCTGAAAGTCTTTTGACATGTCTTTCCCAAAACATCAAGCATGAAGCATTATCGTGAGTCCGTGTTGTTGTGTAAGCACCTGGATCAGAAACTAAGTTGATAAGTTTACCATTTATCACACAAAAAAAAAATTAGATCATTATTTTGAGAATCATAATAAGTGCTTATATAAGCATGTTTAGACTATAAACATGTTTAGACTTTGATTGGACAATCAACTTAATTAAGTGCTTATATCATGATTCATAAGTGTTTATCATCTAAATTCTTATACATTAACTATTTAAATAACAAAAAACAAATTCAAATTGACCTCATGCATGAGTTGTCTTCATAAATCATCTTGAAGAGCTTCTATAAATAAGTCAAAAACAACTTATAAACTTATAAGTTCTCATAAAAATCACGAAGGAATTTAAGCCATAAATAAACTGGGAAACGGTTTAAAAATGAAAAGTACCTGGATGAGCTTCAAGAAAGAGTCTGTAAGGAGGAACATCTGAAGCGTGTGAAAGGATGCCCTTACTGAAGAGATACCGTGAGCCTCCTGACATTGATTTTGTGATTTTGGAGTGATAGATGAGAGAATATTGTGAAAAGAAAAACAGTCACCTCGAGTGGTTTATCAAAGGTGGTTAGAAACGAGTCCAAAGTGGTAGGTAGCTAAAGAACAAATAAACTTGGTAGTATAAAAAATTGTTATGAAACAATTTATAAACTTACTAGCGGAATAGAACGGACGGAACACATATATTTTTTCATTATTGAAAATTTTAGAATAAAACAAAACAAGTCGTTCATTCTACAGAATGCAATTGTATTTCATTTCATTCCGTTCTGTTTGATTCTATCAATTCAAACAAAGTCTAACGGTGTGATAGTTTTTCTCTATTGTTCTTTTGAAGAAGAGAAGGGGCATTGTTGTTGAGATGACACAAACATTAAATAACTTTGTTCATTATAAAATGAGTGTCTTTTAAAGTTTTTATACATAAATTAAAGAATATAATAATATTAAAAAATATAATAATGTTATTATAAAATATTATACTTTTATAAATTTAACTCTATTAATATGTTAGAAATAGTGTAGAGAATAAAAAGTAAATGACACATTTAAAAAAATAATAATCATTACTATATTGAAAAGTGAAAATAACATTAATTTTAAAATAAAATTTATCTATTAAAATGATAATTATTTTAAAACAGAAAAAGTATTAAATAATCTAGGTTAGACTAAATAGAGAATAAGGTGATTGCTTTCTTTAAATAGACTTAAGATCATTTAACGTAATATAAGTGTTATTTTCTCTAAATTCATCCGATTTCATTTGAGTTTTGAATGTTGTTTTATGATTTTTTATCCATACATGTTGTCTAAAATAATAAAAAGTTGTTGTCCAAAATATTTGACTTATTTAAATATTTTTTTAAATTATTAAAATTCGAAAATAACAAATTTATTTGATATTCTAATTTTATAAAATTATTTCTGAATACTATTATCAAGTTAAAAATTGAAATTAAAAATAATGCATATTATAAAATAATTTTACATTATCATCTAATAAAAATTTATTATTTAGTTATATTATATAATTAATTTAAAAATATCAGTATAATCCGACAGAATACAAGATGATGATTAATTGACAATTTAAAATTATTTTATATTGTCAATACATATTCTTTTTTCTCTAAAATTTTAAAAACCAGCAAACTATTTTTAATATTTAGTTTTAAAAATTATAAAGAAAAAAATAATATCACAAATTTATAATATTGTACAATTTTAAAATATTTTTTAAAAGTATAATTATCAAACATGTTTTTTAAACTATTTACTAAATTAATTTTTTAAATAATTTTAAAAAATTAAAAATTAAAACTCATTAAAATAATTTCTTATAAACATGACTTATTTTGGAGTACTTGTAATAAAAATGAAATATTTTTAATAATTTAAAAGTTATGATTGGGTAAAAACATTTTATTATAACCGTGTATATTAATTAAATCATAACATTATTAAATAATTTAAATTAATTATTATTTTATTCTGAGATAAAAAATATTATTAACAAAAGAATACTTGATGTTGTCGGTATGTATTAGAAGTTGATAAATTTTAGTTTGTGAATTATTGCTCTAAAGATTGAGATTAGAATGAATATCAAACTAATCATTATAAAAAAACTATTTAAAATTAAAATTAAAATTTTTGAAATTTCTCTATATAAAAATGTGAATGTGAAATTGGTTACATTAATCTTTCAAATTTTACAAATTGATCTCTATAATTTAAAAAAATAATAATAATTTTATAGTAAATATTTTTAATATTCTATTTAAACAAAAAAACTAATAAATAAATTTTAATTAAATCATTTGAATTATTAGAATTCTAGATTTCTTAAAAAGTTTCCGACTACCTAGTCTAAACGCGAAGAAAAAAAACAAAAAGGGACACCATAAGAGAAGCATGCATGTCAACATTTTCAGGCAAAAATGGCAAACTTTCAATTCCCAGTTTATCATAATCATAAACAGTCTTTGAATTCTCTGCATTAGACTCCACCCAGCAAAACTAGCTCCACCCTTGTCAGGTAAACTGTGCACAACAACAAACACCTTAGGAGGTGGTCTAAGAGGTTGACTTATTCATGCTATTTGGTTTCTGTTTTGGTCCCAACCTATTCGCAAAGATGTTCATATTTCATATCAGTCAAATGAACATCTTCCAAGTGATTACAATTTCACAATCTACTCATTGAGAAACTATGGCATCGTCAGGGTTATAGACTACCGTCCATTTCATCTCAGGACAGAAGTAGGATCTCACCTTGTACATATGTTACTTATTGGGTACCCTTCCAAAATTGCTTTCTCCATAACCTTTTCCTGATTAAAAAAATTAGACATTTTGGTTTTATAACTGGCAATGTTGGGAAGTATAACATAAAAATAAGAAGTTTGAGTATAAACTTCGAAGATGTTTGTTCTTTAAGAGTGTGATTAGTTAAACTTATCTTCAAAATAAAATTCAAAGACCACAAACCCTGTAATAGTGGAAGATAAGTGTTTCATTTTTCTTTTCTTCCCCCGATTCAAAATGTGAAAAAAAATAAAGAAAATTTACCTGGATTAAACTTGTGATCATCCCAGGTCCACCCTGCAGTAACTCTAATTGTGAGAAACTAAAATAAAATTAATATAAATGCGGCAATGGTATTAATTTACCACCTGAAATTGCTTTTTTGTCCATGAGATATCCTTCCATGTTTTAGAATGGGCAGATTGCCATTCTGTTGGAACCTGAATAGTATCGACATGTTGCAAAATCCTCAAGCTACCTGCAATGACACCAGTGTTATCAAATTGCCCTGCCATGGCCGCTATGGCAGATATACATGGCGGTTTTTGGGCTCGCCGCAATGGTAAATATCAGCCGCTATTGCGGGTTTTTCCGCCATAATCCGCAATAACGGCGCGGCCGGTATGGCGGGATTTTGGCTCTCCGTCATTGACCGCCATCGACAACACTGAATGACACCAGATCCCAAGTGAGTTTTTGAATACGAGAAAACCTAAAAAAGGATAGTCTGAAATCTTGTGTAAGTTTGAGTACAATAGATAATTAAAAATATCCTAACTTCAACATAGAACAATAACTTTTCTATAGATACAACGGTTTAAACCGTTGGTCACTCACCAGCAGCTACACCACCACCTGCTGGTGAGTGACCAACGGTTTAAATGTATCAGAACCCTATGCCATTGATTTAGATCCAGGAGTAACTTAAGTGCACAGCTTTCATGAGGCTTCATCAACCACTCACATTTCCAAAAGAACTATTGTGCAATGTTGAGTTCTATCCTCAATAACACTAAAATGAATAAATGAAAAGACAAGAAAATACTTGTGATGAATGCTTCCTCCCAGATTTCATGTTCTGACCATGATGGAGCAACTTCACGAAATGGGATTCCTTCATTCTTGCACACCCTGCACAAGTGTAAGTCATGCCCAGTCAAATGAGAAACAACCTGTTAGTGCTTTATACTTTCTATTCGATCCAAATATGACAATTGTCCAATTTATTTCTATAATTTTAGGACTCATCTTCCTGACTGATAGGACTCAGTTAGTTGAGAAAGAATTGCCACGTGAGCGGCTGATTTACAAGGAATCAAGTGGACCCCAAGAGTGGAAAGTGTATTCTAGAAGGAAGGGTAAGAAGGGAATTGGTGGCTAGTTAGTTATAATATTGTGACGTGGCTTGAGTGAGGAGAGCACTTTGCAATCCATTTCCACGATATAAGGGATCAGAGGGAGAATGTAGATCTTACCTTGGATTATAGTGATTTACTAGCATGAATAGGGAGCTATAGCTTCCTATTAGGAGCCTAGCTCTTGTCAGATCTAGGGTTACATTCCCTTTTCTGTAACTGTTTCCCATTCATATTCACTAAAATAAAGCTCTCTTTTCCTCTGTTTTCTGCTTGTACTGTTATATTACTACAATTCTGTGTTTTAGTTCGTATCAAGTGGTCCGACCTACCGGATTCCGACGAAGGAGCCAGTGAATGCCACCAAAAAAGGTGACGTTAACGGTGTTCGCAAAGATGGAAGCCAGGGTCGAAGCGTTAGAGAGTGAGATCACAGAGGTGCGTTCAACTCTCGTCGAGATGCAGAACTCAGTAACGACAAACCATGCTAATCTGATAGCAATGTTAGAGAAATGCTTGGGTAAGTCGTTGACCGTAGACGAAGGAGATGCGAGCGTGTCCGGCAAAGGTCCAAAGAGTACGGTTGTCAACAACCGTCATGGAGAGGCGTTGACAGAGTATCGCCAATCCGTGAAGAAGGTAGAACTGCCGTCGTTTACCGGAGAAGATCCGGCGGGATGGATCTCACGGGCAGAAGTGTATTTCCGCGTCCAGGACACGATACCAGAGATGAAAGTGAGTTTAGCTCAACTGTGTATGGAGGGAGCAACGATTCATTTTTTTTAACTCTTTGCTCGGAGAGGAAGAAGGGTTGACCTGGGAATCGTTGAAGGAGGCTTTGTTGGAGAGGTATGGAGGACACGGGGAGGGTGATGTTTATGAACAGTTGACGGAATTGAAGCAAGAGGGAACGGTTGAGGAATATATCACAGAGTTTGAATACCTAACGGCACAGATACCGAAGCTACCGGAGAAACAATTTCGTGGGTATTTCTTACATGGGTTGAAGGCAGAGATTAGGGGAAAGGTACGTAGCTTGGTGGCAATGGGGGAAATGAGCAGAACAAAATTGCTCCAAGTCACAAGAGCTGTGGAGAGAGAGGTGAAAGGGGGAAACGGGTCAGGCTTTCATCGTGGGTCTAGAGCTGGTTATAACCCATCTCATAATGGGTCATCAGGAAGGAAAGCTGCATCTGATTGGGTCATGATAAGGGGGAGAGATGTTGGGCCACATGGGGGTGTCAAGAGTGGAGTAAGTGGGCTCAAAGGAGACAAACAGGCCCAAAATGAAAAGAAACACACTGGGCCTCGTGATAGGGGT